CTCGGTTCACATTGCTGCAATGCGGTTTTGACACGATTTTCAGTGTGATTATGTTGTGTGACTTTCATGGGACTTTGAGTATTCTATGGGGCCAAATCACACTGTATATTGCCCCAAAGTAGCACAGGAAACTTTTCCAAAGTCACACCGTGCAGAGTCGCATTGACATGAGTATGCACCATTAAAAATAATGTGTTTTCCCTTATCATGCAATTCTGTACAACTCAAGTCGCATCAGATATCACACTAGTGTGAACCAGCACTTATTCCATGTCAGTGATACCAGGTAGTGAATAAAGCATACGGAAGATAAACTCGTGGCTTAAAAAGATGTCAACTCAGGGTGCAAAGTTCATTGAAGACTATGCAACTGTTATGGGACCCAGAAGCACAAGGACCCAAATCTGTCTGGGTACACAGTGATCTCTGGAGGTGGTAACAGTTTCTGGCACATACTGTACGTTTCAATATACTGAATGTGTCTGGGGGCCTCTACATGATTGCTATGAATACAATTAGTATTTTGTATCACTACAGGAATTAAATTTGGAGATGGAGACATGAAAGTCAGAGGGACCTTTAATGTCTTTACTATGGGGCTGCTTCACACATAGTTAAGATTCTAATTTCGAGATTGATTCAGATTCAGGTTCCCTTGAAATAGGTAAAAAAACTATGCACCAACTGTGCACTTTTTTAAATTGATTGTGTGTTGCATTTTTTTGGATATTGTATTTGGTGCATGTCCCTAAGTCTTCCCCTGTGTTTTGCAAGGTGTAGGTTTATCATATGTACTGTAGGCATCACAGAGAGATGTGGGGTTGCTCTCTGTTAAGTAAATCCTCAGTCTATGAGGTTGATTAAGGCTCATTCACACGAGACACCCTAGGCAAGGGCCATGTTTACCTATATGGGGATGCACAGGTGTTCCATGTAGGTAATCCCATTGATTTCTTTTGGGATGCAATGGCTGCACACAGACAGTCACTGCTCCCAATTTGACATCCATGTGGATGCATGGTCCCGAACGCAGTGTGCATTCCAGCCAGTGCACCCACACCCTTCTCGATGTCAAATGGGAAGCCAAAGCAGTGTATGTGCAGCGATTCCCAATGGACATCAATAGGACTGCCTGCATAGGGATGCATGGAACACCTGTGCATTCCCATCCAGGCAAGCACGGCTCTTGCATATGCAAATAGGGGATACATATGCATATGCTCAATGTGAATGAGACCTTATATAGAATTTGCATAGCCAATAGACATTATTCCTATGATACCAAGCCCCATCAAGTGGCCCAAAGCAAAATTTTCCATTTTCCATTTAGGTTTTGCCTCTTTCGCATAGAATGAATGTGCATGCTCTTTCACTAGGCCACTGGCTATGCAAATTCTTTATAAATCAACTCCATAGATTCAGAGAAGTTGTCTCTAGTGTACACTGTAGTGTAGAAAGTGTCTAAAAAAAAAAGCCAAATCTGGCCAGCTACAAGATTTTCTCAGCCCTTCGTAACTGTCCATAAAAATATTCCAGCTGGCTGACTGGCAGGCAGTGGATGTGCCAGTCTGTATATCACAAAATCATGACAGCTGTGATCTTCCCTATGGCCCCAGTACAGATTACCACCCAACCGTCCCTCCACTCTAGACCAGATCTCTGCCTCCCAGCTTTCTCCCTGTTACTCTACTGCCAGAAAAGTAAGGGGGAACTCTGCTGTGTAAGGCACTCCTGGATGTAAAAGAGAACTCTGTTGGGCACTCCTGGATGTAAGAGGGAACCCTGTTGCACACATTTAGATGTAAGGGGGTACTCTGTTGGGTACTCCAAGATGTGAGGAAGGACTCTGGTTTGCACACCTGGATGTAAAGGGGGGCTTTGTTGGGCACTCTTGAATATAAGGAACTCTGTTGGGCAATCCTAGATGATCATCTGGATGTAAGGGGTGGGGGTGTTTTGTGCACTCCTGGATGTAAGGAGGTCTCTGTTGAGCATTACTGGATGTTGGGGGGGGGGGGGAGTCTTTTTATTAAAAATTGATTATTTTTGGTCTGCAGATATATGCAAAATATACAATGTGGCCCTTGTACTGAAAATTTAGACACCCTTCCTTTAGAGGAATCATATGATCCAGGTGGCTTTTCGATGGACTCAATTAAAGATAGAGGCAAAGCAAAGTCTGATCTTTCCCTGTCAACCTAAAGCCAGCCATACATGGGTTGAATTCTCAATGAATCTTCTTTAGAAAATCATAACTAAGAATTTTCTTTTCCATTTCACACCATTAGTGGGCTGCATCAGCCAATTTTCGTGCGGCCATCAAATTTGAGTGATCAGGTATGTTGGAAAATGTTTAGAAAAATTAACAAATTTCTAATCAATGATGGGAAAATCGTGTGAGAAATATAATCAAAAAAAGAAATGAGCATGAGCTGTGACCTGGTAACATGAGAGAAATTGAAGGCTTGGTTGGTTGAATTTCAAAATCAATTGTGGCACCAAAATGCACAAAATGTCTGATTTTCGAATGAAACTTTGTTCAGAATTTGACCCATGCATGGCCTGCATAACTCCTCTGCTTCAAAAACAGAACAAAGCAAGTTACATATTATACAGCAATATTTCTAAAGAGTGCAAATAAAATCAAATTGATTTATCATACCGCATATATTTACTACTTGGAAATGCCAGTGACTGATAACGTTGTCATATTTCAGTATTTCCCAGCAGAACATTTAACAGGCCAATTTAACCTGCAAGTGGGCCACAGAGACCTTATCTAGCAGCGTGTTGCCAACAGAATTCCTATTTTAATGAACATCTAAACCCGACTAACTGAGCCACGTAGTAAAAATGAATAAACCCAAGATAGCTGCCGTGCAAGTGTTCCAGGATGAAGGCATTTTGTCTATAATTAGTTAGGAATCACAATACAGGATTTCAGAAACACGAACACATGCTGATGTTATTCAGTCACATCTCTTGTTTCAGGTGTACATGTGAAAGGACATACGCCATGAAATCAGGCATTAAGCTCCGACTCCAGGAGTATAGGCCTGTACAAGTCTCTAGGAAGCCTCTTTGTGCATGTTGTTTCTCTTGAATACAAACTGAAAATAAAAGACGACATTTCGCTAGGAAAACGTCGGCTCGGTTTATCTCCCTTGTGTCCCACAAAGAGTTTTCTGACTCATCAGAACATCAGAAGCCAAAAGCTGCCAGTGTCACAATAAAGTCAGTCCTTCCTCCATCACAGTGCCCGTCTGTAAGATGAAATGGCTTCAAGCAGCCGCTGTCAGTGTGATGTGGAGCACACACACACATAGAAGCTCCCACTTAGATGACTTCTCTTGTGAAGGCTTTTGAATTTTATTTGCAGGAAACTTTATATGGATATCTCTGAAAATTACTATTGATGGGAAATGTCACTTGTAATAAAGAGTTGATATATATAACAAGAAAGTAATTAAAAGTTTCAAAAATACAGAAACCTGGATATATAATCATTACTGAGAGCTTTTACTTCTAACTTGCTCTGATATTATCCAGCAATGAACAGTAAAAAAAAGGGTGAAAATGATAGACTCCAGCCAATAACAGCTACCGAGACATAGCACAGCAGAGGGCTCTGCCCACAAGAGCTTACGATCTGCATATTTGCTGACATTTTAAAAGGCCAGTTCACCAAAAACCTTCAGTTTTTGCTAGATCCTGGATAATAAAACCACCTGACAAATGATTATAACTCTTTATTGGCGAGGTATTTACGCTTGAGTTTCTGGGTCTGTGCATTTGTTGCGGCCATCATGAGGGGATCCCACTCCACCGGTTGGAATTTCTATTTATTTTTTTATTACTGAGGACTTAAAATAAAATGCTGGACCATGCAAAGGTGGATGCAGACACTGAAAACTCCTAGAAAGAAAGGAACACAATTTGGATATATGGCAGCCCTCCACCCCTCCACTGTTCTGATAGGACTTTTTTTGTTCTAGGTGATTGATGTGCACATTTCCTGCTGTGCCTCCTGGGGATATTGTACAGTTTATAGGTCACATTGAAGGTGGAAAACGTTCTGAAATGATTTAACTTTGTCTCATTTTTTTACATCACAGAAACCTGACATTTTAACAGGGGTGTGTAGACTTTTTATATCCACTGTACGTCACATATTCCAGGATGCATTAGCTTTCACTGGGAAAAGAGGAGGGGGGCGGGCCTAATGTTATGTCATAGAATAGCTGGCGGCTTTCCAATGACATCATGCATGAAGATGGTGACGTGGGACTGAGTGTGGGGCTAAAGGAAAGAAGATCTTAGCAGGACACCGCTGGATCCATTGGGAGTACATTTACTGTGCAGGACCCGCAACCAAGTAAACAGGGGTATAGAAAGAAAAAAATGAGAGGAGGGGGGTCCTTTTTAAAGACTTTTGGTTGGATTGACATTTTTAATATAATTTGCAGGGACATTGACACTGAATTGGCATACCTGAGGTGCACTGTAGTGTGCTCTGCTGCATTTAGAAAATAGTTTATGTCTAAGTTTGGCTGCCAAAATGAGTGAGCTGTCCTAACACAATGGTAGTTAAGGCTAAGTTCATTTCATGTGACTATGCACACTGCATATTGCACGGACACGGCAACCCATTCATTTGAAAAATTCACTGTTTCTGGAATTGCAGTCCGCATGGGAACCACAAGTACAGTGCAGTTCTCAGTGTGGGAGTGATTTCCAGGCGTGAGGTAAGCCATTAGGATTATTGGCACCCACAAGCATTCAGCACATTTTTCTGTGTGGGTGGCTGTAGCTGCAGGTACAGGTATGACAATCACCTGCACAAATGTGAACCTAGCCTTAACCTCCCTAGCGGTATTCCCGAGTGTAGCTCGGGGTAGAGTTTCAGTACCAAAAGCGGTAACCCCGAGCTACACTCGGGCTTACCATGCAGCGTTGCACAGGGATTCCCTGCAGCACTTACCTTGTCCTTCGCTCCCGTGATGCGTCCCCTGCAGCGTCCCCAGCCATCTCGCCTTCGGCCGATGCCGGCATCCAGCTTCCGTGTTCCGGTCCCTGTGACGTTGGAACATGCGTCGCCGGACCCCGCGGCAAATTTGAAAATTTTTAAAAATGACATTTTTTTTAAAATGATTATTACATAGTAAAACATTGCTGTTTCGAAGCATTTCACATACATTTTTCCCTACTGCTTTGTCCTGTGCCCTGCCTGCATTTTGAATGTTCTTTCTGCCTGGAAACTTAGAAAAGTCCACGGCATCCAAAAAGCATCCCTTTATGTCAAAATCGGTTTTAGACCGGCTAGAGAACAGCGATAGTAAATCAGAACCACTTGCAGAATTGAGTGATAATGATTTGTGGGGAAATTCGTCATCAGACACTGAAAACGATTCTGCGACTTTCCTCAGTGATGTGCGAACTTGGCGCTATATTTCAAATTTCAGTGTTTTTGGTTTGATTATATTATTGAATTCAATTTATTATTATTATATTATTATTTTTTTTATGCATATTTATTAAATTATAATTTATGATTTCGTGTTTCAAGTTTTATCATATCCGGAATGTTTACTAGACTCTTGTTCGGACAGATTTCAGTGAGTTATTCCTAAATTACAGGCCTACAATAAAAAAAACGACATATTTCCATGCAAAATAATGGTACAGCTTTCAGCACCAAAAATCTGAAATAATCATACCGCTAGGGAGGTTAAGCAGTATTAAACCCAATAACAAAAATGTAATATATTGCAACTTACCAACTGTTAGATATGGTATCTGCATTAGTTTTCATTTTTTTATGCTTTTTTCCTTTATGTCACCAGGTGATCCAGCCAGTAACACTCTTCTTGTCTTAGGGTTGGCATGCTGGATGAAGTATTGAAGCAGACACCTTTGGACAGCAGCATTGTCAGTAAGGGGGAGGGGAGTGTTAGACTAGTAGATTTAGATCAGCGGTTCTCAACCTGGGGGTCGCGACCCCTTTGGGGGTCGAACGACACTTTCCCAGGGGTCGCCTAAGACCATCGGAAAACACATATTTCCGATGGCCTTAGGAACCGAGAAACCGCTCCTTGATCCGTCTGCAGGTTTGGGCGGGATGACATGCCGTCCCTGTCATCTGGACACACCCCCGGGATCAATCCTTCCTCGTCGGTGATTGGCCGCCGGAACTGTAGCTCAAGAGAGGCACACAGGCGGCCAATCACCGGCGAGGAGGTGGAGCTTGGAAAGGAGGAGCCGAGCGGCACCGCGAAGCACGAGCGAGTGAAGAGGAGGAAAGCGGCCGGAGAAGGAAGACATCTGACCGGTAAGTGTTTGTACCATGGGAGAGGGAGGGAGCGAGCGAGCCCAGGCTGGAGCAGGGGTCAGCAAGGTAAGTATCATTGGTGTCAGTGGGAGGAATAGTGCCCAATCATTGGTGTCACTATTACCAATGATGGGGCACTATTCCTCCCCCCACTGACACCAACGATGGGGCACTATTCCTCCCACTGACACCAACGATGGGGCACTATTCCTCCCACTGACACCAACGATGGGGCACTATTCCTCCCACTGACACCAATGATGGGGCACTATTCCTCCCACTGACACCAACGATGGGGCACTATTCCTCCCACTGACACCAATGTTGGGGCACTATTGCTCCCCCTGACGCCAATGATGGGGCACTATTCCTCCCACTGACACCAATGATGGGGCACTATTCCTCCCACTGATACCAATGATGGGGCACTATTCCTCCCACTGACACCAATGATGGGGCACTATTCCTCCCACTGACACCAATAATGGGGCCGTATTCCCCCCACTGACACCAATGATGGGGCACTATTCCTCCCACTGACACCAGTGATGGGGCACTATTCCTCCCACTGACACCAATGATGGGGCACTTTTCCTCCCACTGACACCAGTGATGGGACACTATTCCTCCCACTGACACCAGTGATGGGGCACTATTCCTCCCACTGACACCAATGATGGGGCACTATTCCCCCCACTGACACCAATGATGGGGCACTATTCCCCCCACTGACACCAATGATGGGGCACTATTCCCCCCACTGACACCAATGATGGGGCACTATTCCCCCCACTGACACCTATGATGGGGCACTATTCCTCCCATTGACACCAACGATGGGGCACTATTCCTCCCCCCACTGACACCAACGATGGGGCACTATTCCTCCCCCCACTGACACCAATGATGGGGCACTATTCCTCCCCCCACTGACACCAATGATGGGGCACTATTCCTCCCACTGACACCAACGATGGGGCACTATTCCTCCCACTGACACCAACGATGGGGCACTATTCCTCCCACTGACACCAACGATGGGGCACTATACTTCCCTCTGATACCAACGATGGGGCACTATTCCTCCCACTGACGCCAATGTTGGGGCACTATTGCTCCCCCTGATGCCAACGATGGGGCACTATTCCTCCCACTGACACCAATGATGGGGGCACTATTCCTCCCACTGATACCAATGATGGGGCACTATTCCTCCCACTGACACCAATGATGGGGCACTATTCCCCCCACTGACACCAATAATGGGGCCGTATTCCCCCCCACTGACACCAATGATGGGGCACTATTCCTCCCACTGACACCAATGATGGGGCACTATTCCCCCCACTGACACCAATGATGGGGCACTATTCCCCCCACTGACACCAATGATGGGGCACTATTCCCCCCCACACTGACACCTATGATGGGGCACTATTCCTCCCATTGACACCAACGATGGGGGGCACTATTCCTCCCCCCACTGACACCAACGATGGGGCACTATTCCTCCCCCCACTGACACCAATGATGGGGCACTATTCCTCCCACTGACACCAAATGGGGCACTATTCCTCCCACTGACACCAATGATGGGGCACTATTCCCCCCACTGACACCTATGATGGGGCACTATTCCTACCACTGGCACCAATGATGGGGCACTATTCCTACCACTGACACCAATGATGGGGGCACTATTCCTACCACTGATACCAATGATGGGGCACTATTCCTCCCATTGACATCAGTGATGGGGCACTATTCCTCCCACTGATATCAATGATGGGACACTATTCCTCCCACTGACACCAATGATGAGGCACTATTCCTCCCACTGCAAAATTACAGTTATGAAGTAGCAACGAAAATAATTTTATGGTTGGGGGTCACCACAACATGAGGAACTGTATTAAGGGGCATTAGAAAGGTTGAGAACCACTGATTTAGATGGACATTTTATTATTATTATTATTATTATTATTATTATTATACAGGATTTATATAGCACCAACAGTTTGCTCAGCGCTTTACAATATAAAGAGAGACAATACAGCAACAATACAGTTCAATACAAGAGGGTTAGGAGGGCCCTGCTCCTTGGAGCTTACAATCTAAGAGGGAGGGGCTGGTGGTACAAAAGGTAATAACTTTGGGGGATGAACTGGTAGGAGGAATAAAAGATTCCTGTTATTAGCTGAGGGCAGGATAGGTTTCTCTGAAGAGATAGGTTTTCAGAGATAGCCTAAAAGTGGGCAGAGTAGGCGATAGTCTGATAGATTGGGGTAGAGAGTTCCAGAGGATGGGGAAGGCTCTGGAGAAGTCCAGGAGACGAGCATGGGAGGAGGAGACAAGGGAGCTAGAGAGCAGGAGGTCATGCGAGGAGCGGAGAGGAAGGTTTGGGTGGACTTGACAAACAAGCTCATTCTGTACATCAGAAAGCACTTTAGAACATGGCCGGATCTAGAGGGGTGCTGGGGTGGGTTGTGCCCCCCCAGGCCAGGTGCCCCCCCAGGCCAGGTGCCCCCTCCTCCCATGTACTTTATGCCATGCCATCTCCCCCCACTCCCTGCCACCCACATCTAGAGTAATCAGTCAAGACAGGGGTTGCAGAGAGGAGAGAGTGGGAAAGAGATGCGGGGCTCTCTGTGATCTCCACCTCTGTGGAGAGAGCGGGGGGAAGAGATGCGGGCTCTCTGTGATCTCCACCTCTGTGGAGAGAGTGGGAAAGAGATGCGGGCTCTCTGTGATCTCCACCTCTGTGGAGAGAGCGGGGAAGAGATGCGGGCACTCTGTGATCTCCACCTCTGTGGAGAGAGCGGGGAAGAGATGCGGGCACTCTGTGATCTCCACCTCTGTGGAGAGAGCGGGGAAGAGATGCGGGCACTCTGTGATCTCCACCTCTGTGGAGAGAGCGGGAAAGAGATGCGGGCTCTCTGTGATCTCCACCTCTGTGGAGAGAGCGGGGAAGAGATGCGGGCACTCTGTGATCTCCACCTCTGTGGAGAGAGCGGGGAAGAGATGCGGGCACTCTGTGATCTCCACCTCTGTGGAGAGAGCGGGGAAGAGATGCGGGCACTCTGTGATCTCCACCTCTGTGGAGAGAGCGGGGAAGAGATGCGGGCTTTCTGTGATCTCCACACAGCAGGTTACATAGGATCACTATTACATCCGACAGTACACGACTTCATTACCGGCCCCCATCCTCATTTTCAAGAGTTGAGCAGTCTTTGGAGGAGATGGGAGCGGGGAATAAAGCCATGTACCGTCGGATGTAATAGTGATCCTATGTAACCTGCTGTATGGAGGAGCACTGTTATGACAGGAGGCGGAGATCATAGAGAGCCCACATCTCCTCACTACTGTTGTTCCCTCAAGTAAGATTAGGTGAGGAGGAGCTTGTGGAGGAGGGGCTATTTGTGCTGGGATGGATAATTGCGGGGGGGATGTGTTAGGAGGCAGGATTGGGGAAGATTTATGCTGGGGGGGGGAATTTGGAACAGGGAGATTGTGCTAGGAATCGGATTTGGGAGTGGCATAGATTTGTGCTAGGACGGGGGATTGGAGGAGGGAATAGTGTTAGGTAGGGGAATTGGGGGTGATATGTGCTACTAGGGTGATTTGGATATGCGGGAATTTGTGCTGGGAAGGGTAATTTTTAGGCGGTTGTGCTAGGAGGAATTTTTTTTGGGGGGGGATTTGTACTAGGAGGGGGGATTGGGGGGATTTGTACTAGAAGGGGAGAATTTATGGGGAAGATTTGCACTTGGGGGAATATTTGTGCTAGGTGGGGGGACTTAGGGGAGAATATTTGTACTAGGAGGGGAGATTTGAGGATAAGATTTACGCTAGGAGTTGGGATTTTGGGGAGAGGGGTTTGTGCTAGAAATGGGGGAATTTGTACTAGGAGGGTTGAATTTAGGAGAGAATTTGTACTAGGAGGGGGGATTTGGGGAGAGGATTTATGCTAGAAGTGGGGATTTGGGGAGAGGATTTATGCTAGGAGGGGGGGAAGGGGGAATTTGTACTAGGAGGGGGAATTTGGTAAAGGATTTATGCTAGGAGTAGGGATTTGTAAGGAAAGAGGATATGTGCTAGGAGGGGTGATGTTTGGGGCATGGAAGCTTTGTTAAGGATTGTGGGGATTTGAGGTAGAAGGTGGGATTGGGGGACAAAGATTTGTGCTGGAAGGGGGGATTGGACTGTGAGGATGGGGAATTTTTGCATTTTTGTTTGGGTAGAGTTTAGGCTTGCAGAAGGGATTTATGCTTAGGGGATGAGCGTGTTTATTAGTGCTGTTTTTTTTTTTTGGAGGGGTGCAGTTTGTCACCTTCATCTTGAGGCTAGATAACTTTGTCCCGGCAGTGCCCGCACTGCACACAAGGGACTCAACAGATCTTTTCCTCCCCATATAACACATAGCTGAGATCAGATTCCTGAATTGTGAAATTCCCTGATTGGATTGGCAGCTGCAGTAGTCAGCTACACAATGTGTGGAGGGATACTAATCTCAGCTATGTGCTATTTGGGGAGGAGGAGATCTCTTAAGTGCCCTGCCAACAGTGACCCTGTTCTCAACTCTGCTGACCACTGTCTTCTACCATGCTGACTCCTGTACCCCTCCCTGCTAACCCATCCTCTGCACTGTTGACCCCTATATTCTGTCCTGTTGACTCCTGTCCTCTGCCATGCTAACTCCTGTACACTGCCCTACAAACTGCTGACCTCCTGTACACTGTTCTACTGACTCTTATACACTGCCTTGCTGACCTTGCATCCTCTGCCCCCAGGACATTTTTACTGCACCCCCAAATCAGACAGGCTAGATCCGGCCCTGCTTTAGAAGCAGCAAAACTTTTTTTCCTTTTGGGATAAGGGTTTTACATAAATGAACAAAAGCTGATCAACCCTCTAACAGCCACTTTTGATGGACAGCTTGGTCTGTTAAAGGAAGCTGAAAAATAACAGACTTATTGGCTGGATCACCAGGTTTAAAAAAGGGGGAAAAGCCTAAAAAAGAAAACAAATGCAGCCACCACATAAAAGAATTGGTAAGTTTGTAAGCGAATTGAAGATTAACTAGTTACATGCTGCCCTGGGCAGGAGAGGATGGTTAATGTCTTTCCTGGGTCTTTGACTTGGCAGATTTCCTTGGGTTTCCACTGGCCCTGTGATATATAAGACAATGGTCCAGAGCAGAAGAGGAAGTAAGGGAAGTCGAGTAGGACCAACTCTTTGAGCCCAGAGCCCAGACGGTGTGGAGAGAAAGCCTAAAGCCAACTTCTGGGAGCATGTCATCATGTAGGAGGTCCAGGGGCAGACTGACCATTTAGGCACCCGGGCACTGCCCGAGGGCCCGGGGTCAGTAAAGGGCCCCATGAGATGCCCCTAGAACCTTTCATAGGCTTTTTTGGGTGTGGTTTGAGTGTGGGCAAAGACACAGGGGCCCCATGATTTCCTATTGCCCGGGGGCCCCATGAGTTGTCAGACCGCCCCGAGGAGGTTATCAGGTTTTTGCCATGTTTTCCATTGCTTTCAATGAGGATGCACATTTTTGGTGTGATCTTTTTACTACATCAAAGCTGCACCAAAAATGCAACAGGCAGGACTTTGTAAAATACACCAGACCCGCAACAGATCACTGTGAAGTGTTCCTTAGGAATACATGGTCCGTAAAAGCGGAAGAAAAACGGATCAGTGTGAAAGCAACCTGAAGCCTGGTACATGCAATGAGAATCATATGGATTTTTTTGCATGCTAGTCTCTTATAGAAAATGAAGAGGTTACTAAAGTTACGAAAATCCTCCTGCGACAGAATACAACTTCGGAAGTGATGTAATGTATTCTTTCGTTTCTGAGCATGCGTGGTCCTGCTCTTCCAATATTTTTCGGATGAATACTGTACTGATTAAATGAAAATCGTATGAGTGGGTATTGTACCAAAAAAAGTTTCATGTTTGTCCCTTCTAATACTGAATGAAAGCTGTGTACTAACGATCAGATTATCATATGGTCGCTTCGAAAGTAATATTTTCCATCTGATTTTCTGATTGTGTGTACTAGGCTTAAAGTGTTACTATACCCATTACCCTGCATTCACTATACCTCTCTCCCACAGTACACAGAACAAGGAAATGCAATTATTTTAGTAAATATAAATTGCTAAATACCTTTTCTCATCAGCAGTTGGAGTAGTCTTGTTACTTCTATCAATGTTCAGCAGAGCACTGGTAAAAGCTTATAGGAGGAGTTTTCATTCTGCTCCAGGAGGATGCAGTACCTCTGACCTCTGTCTGGACAGGGTTTATTGGCCCTGTGCTGTTCACATGCACATGTTTTTTTTTCCCAAGAAAAAATTGGTCCTGTGCTGTTCACATGCACATGTTTTTTTTTCCCAAGGAAAAAAAAAAAAAAACCTCTCTAGCAATACACACCAAACTGAGCATGTTCAGAATGACTCCAAACCTCTGTTCTATCAGGAGATGTTTATGGGGCAATGGAAGAAGGGGTGGATCAGAGAAGACAGGATCAAACATCATTTTTACACAATGTGGAGGTTTCACAGTGAGTATAACGAGCATGCTTTACTGTTTATACAGACTGATTCAGTAACTCATGAGGTGGCTGTTTGTATTGCCTTAATGAATTTGCCACATTTTCCTTTATCGTTTGGCTCAGACTAGCCATTGGACAAGTAATGTTTCCTTTCATTAGAATCTCAGACTAACTGAGGCTTTTCTCACATTCACTGTGGAACAGTCTTAATGCAGTTATCTTTTCATTTGTAGTAACTTTGTGTCCATAGCAGGGGCGGACTGACCATTTGGAAACTCGGGCACTGCCCGGGGGCCCGGGGTCAGTAGGCAGCCCCATGAGATGCCCCTGGTACCTTTTCATAGGCTTTTTTGAGTTTGGGCAAGGACACAGGGGCCCCATGATCCCCAATTGCCCGGGGGCCCCATGAGTTGTCAGTCCGACCCTGGTCCATAGTAAACATATTCTATGAGATCATTGCCTGCTTCAGGTATTGCACACCGCCAGCTCCCCACTACGTCACCAGGAGCAACATTCACATTTCAGGGGACAAAAACAAAATAAATATATTCTCTCAGACATGACTACAAAATTGATAGTTTTTCACTTTTGAGCAGATTTTATCCCTGATATTATAAACTGTTACAAAAGCAATAAAAGGCTAAGGCTGAAAAGAACTGATTTTGACAATAGCTCTTCTAATAGAAACGCTGGAAGATTGTAGCCTGAATGCAAGCTGACAGCCGTTACAAATGTAAGACCAGTCACAGCCTTTTCTGTGCACTCAGATCAATTGCAGTGATTACAGCCCAGATTGAAAATTATGTTTTAAATGTATTGTTTATGTGCATCAAAGTGGCAAGTTCCTTTTGGTACCGATAAATGGAAAATGATCAGCGGGTTAGTTTACAGCTCGTTTGATACATGTTTACTGGTTGATTCTATACTTACGTTGCACTTTGTTTTTGACAGTTGTGAGTGTTGAAAAATGTAATGTTAAGGTGTTACTAAACCCAGGACCCTGCATTCACTATATCTGGTCTCCCACAGTACACACAACATGGAAATGCAATTATTTTATTAAATATAAACTGCTAAATACCTTTTCTCATCAGCAGTTATCAGTGTCCAGCTTAGCACTGTTTAAAGTTTTGTTTCTGCTCTAGGAGGATGCAGAACCCCTGACCTCTGTCTGGACAGTGCTGCTTTGCCCTGTGCTGATCACATGCACTCTCCCCCCCCATAGGGGGGAAAAAAAAAAAAAAAACTCTCTAGCAATACACACCAATCTGAGCATGTGCAGTGTGTCTCCACATGTTATCAAGAGATAAGAGGGGGGCACTGGAAGAAGGAGAGGATCAGAAAAGTCAGGATCAAGGAGCACTTGTACACAATGTGGATGATTAACCCCTTAGGTTCCACAGTTAGTATAACAAGCATGCTGTGCTGCATATACAGGCTGATTTTACTGTTGTGGGTTTAGTAACACTTTAATACAGCATCAACATTTCTTCTTGAAAGTGATTTGCCGTTTTTACTGGCTTTTTTTTTTTTTTAAGGGACAGTTATTTTATGCCAGGTCATAATACAGGAATGACAACTAATCTAAAAGGGTACATATACAGGAGAAGTCAATAAAGCTGTAATAACACTTTTCTGGCAGTAGTTTCTTTAAGAATCGCATGCACCTAATTCAAGCAGGTGTTTGTGTCAGTTTCAGTAGCATTATCGACACATGGGGCAAATTCGGGTATTTCTTTCTACTGCCACTTTAAGAACCTGTCACTAATGCAGGTCATACATGATTCGAATTCCGAACGATTTTTCATCCAAAAATCTAAACGTCGTTTATTCTGTAATGGTGCCAGCATGCCCGATAAACGAAATGGAGAGGAACCATGAAAATCGGCTGATGCCATTGCCCCACTAACAGAGCGAAAAGAGGACGATTATTTTTAGGTCCGATTTTCGTATGAAAATTGTTCGGAATTCGAACCATGTATGGCCTGCATAAGGCAGCAAAAGATTTTTAAAGGATTACCGGCAGCTTGCAGATTAGGAAACTGGTGGTAATTAAAGCAGTATTAAACTCAAAACCATATGTGGTTTAGAAACGGTTCCCATAGAAGTCATAGCCTGTAATCCACACCTGAACCTCAGAAATCGGACGTGGCTCTTTTTCAAACCACACTGAATCTGCCAATTCACCGGACATATGTGAACACACCACCACAGGAAACAATGTTTTTTTTTTCACATGTCATGCGGATTGGATGCGGTTCAAATTGCATCCAATCAGCATATATGTGAACCGCCTTTTTCCCTCTGTTTTCACCTGCTGATATGGTCAGTAACACATCTCCCTCCGGTATTGGTGAGACACAACTCTGGATGAATGAGCACAGGAGCCACAGCAGACAGCAGCATCATCTGGGGGTAAGGTAGTGTTAACTGTATTAGCATATTTAAATAATTATAAATAAACAAACTGAAACCAAAATCCAGTTTATACTTTATAATAAGGTACAGCAAACAGTTTTTTTTTTCCATTTGGGATACAGGTTTTGCATAAATAAATATATGCTGATTATTTTTTTCACCCCTGCCAGTGTTACATGGCTTGTCTTATCTATGTAAATTAATACATTTTGCTGGAGATTTGTGCTTCTGAACAACAGACTTGCTGGCTGGATGACCAGATAAAAATAGAAGAAAAAAAGCCTAAAAAAAAAATCACATTCTTAGCCATCACATCTAAGAATTGGTAAGCTGAAATACAATAAATGCTTGCTTATTGGTTTAATATCACGTCAGTGCTGGAAGTGGGACATGTCTGCTCTGGGAAGCTATCATGATTGAGTCAGCTACCTGCATAGGGTTCTATCCCCGGACATGTTCCACTGTCAACCAGGGAATTCTTTGACCAAAAGCTGAATGTGAACAATGGGCCAAGGATAGTGGTTATGTCATTACCCAAATATGGAAACATTTAAGAAATGCCTGGTCATGTTTGATTGACAGCACATGGCAGTGGTCAGATTCGAAAGCCACTATTGGACTCCACAGAAGCTGTGGATCCACCCACAGTCATGCACTGTTACTGAAAGGTAAGTGGCCCTAATGCGAAACTAGTCTCTAAGTTCCTCATCAAACTTCTTCCAACACCGTAGAAAACTCCTCAGCCATGTGCCTGGAAGTATGATGGGTACAGTGGCCAGGGAGGGAGTGGACACTCCAACCTCAGTGTTGGAATCAGCTTGTGGATGTGGTCTACTGCACTCATGCACTAGGGGTACCTTTGCTCGAGGGCACACTCACCAGTGTCAGGGACCAGGCGGTACTGCGGTCATGCATAAAGTCAAACATTAAGGCATTTCCCCGACTTAGAAATTAACTTTTACTGCATGAGATGCTGCAAAGATGCAGAGTTCCTCTGTAATGTAGTGCCCCATGTCTCTACACAATGTGATTTTTGAGATGTTGCATTAGGAGTGGCAGGTCAGGCCATGGCGCCTTCACCAGTCAGCGTACCTCTGTTACAACACTCCCAGTAACAGAATGGGATCCCATGGGACACATAGCGCAGATCTCATGCGTGTCCTGTGTTGATTCTTCCTCAACCATAATGTGTGGCTAGCTGAGGGTCTCTGCAATGCTTGTCTGTTCCTGAATACCATAGGAGATGGACCGTTCAGGAGAAAGTCCAAGGAAACAACCCCCTCACTACAGGAAGACACCTCACCTTGCCCAGGTACCATGCTTCACAACTTTGTGCTTTGTGTCTTCCTTTTATCTGTTATGTTCCTAACACTAACTACAATGATTGGTGGCTCAGGCATACCTCCTAGAGACGAGAATCCTTGTTAGAAAAATCCATTCCTGGTGGTCCTCTTGGTGGCTGTAGCGGACTGCAGAGGGCACCAGTCCCTCCTTCAAGCCTCAATCTCAGTGGGAAAAAAAGACCCAGAGCCTCAGCCTCCCTCTGTAACGGTTGCGGCGTCAGACCCCCAGCCCTTCTCACCAACTCGTGACCGAAGGACTAGCCAGTCTAAAACTGCGCTGTCACATGCGTAACAATGCCACACTCAGCTGCACCCTGCACAAAGATTTTCCAGCTAATGGACCACAATCTATGTACCTGCAGCCTGAGAGCGATTGTTACTGGGTCAGGTTAATTACGCAATTAACGCTTCACACTGCCACCGCCGCCTTTTTTGTACAGAAAAGGAGGAAACTCGCCAATATCAGCAATAACACTATGATGTTTGAATAATCGTCTCTATACACACTGTCACCGCAGGCAGATGTATATAGAGGTTTTAAAAACACACAGTAGCGCTCTTCAGAGACAGGGATTCTTAGTTTGCATCAAAGAGCTTTAGAAACAGTTCAACACTTTTCAGATAATAGGATTTATTACTAAAAAGGTCAAAAGGGTGCAATAAAAAATGTTTACAGACAAAGATGTAGCCAAATATATATATATATATATATATATATATATATATATATATATATATAAATACAGAGAGCAATACCACAACTGAGAGATAACAGAAAGAAATTTAGAGAGGTAGAATACTTGCCTTCAGCCTTGGTTTAAGCGGCGTTCAAGTGTCAGAGCAAAAGGGTGCCGTTCTCCCAAGTTGGTTCCTGATGTTAAAAAAGGAGAATTCTTCAACTTACTTTTCCAAACCTGACAACCTCCTTTCTAGGAACTCAGCAGGGTGTCTCCCTAAAGCAGAGAAACAATCGCCTCATTTGGGGAGGGGTGTTGTAGGCGTGGAAATCAGGCTATGACCAAATCCCTCCCACGTTATACCATGGTCAATAACCTTCCCTAGGGACATGTAGCAGCCTAGCCACTAATAGATTAATATGCAGAATGATATCCTGAACATCCAGACATCAAATATGGCATATTTCACTATTCCAACTAGAACTTTATGGCTTTCTGCTCTCCTGTAGACTTCAACTAGGGGTGTAAGATATCAGGTTACTTGCATTAAACTGAGCTATCTGAATATATGCTTTGCTTGATTTTAATTATTGCCTATCTCTAGATATGAAATTTTAAGGAAAAGTGGGTTTTAAATGTGATGTCTGTTTTACGGCTATCTCGGAATGCGTTTGAAGTCCAGTGAAGGACTGATTTATGGCTTTACTATTACCTCCAAGCAAGAGTCTCACAGACATACTGGGCCCAGGCTAATTGGGGTTTATAAAATATATATATAATATAATAAAGCGAGCGCTCCTTAAATATAAATGAATGGATAAGCAGCTAAAGCACTAAAGGGGATCACAACCGCCTTATGTTTAAATAATAAATATAAAGTGCAGCGCTGAAAAATGTCAAACCAACAGTTCGTTCAAAAACGTTCGTGCAATTGATATAGCGACAACGAGGTAGTAACACAGCTGTGAAGGATCCAGTAGAAATGACAGAAATGCGCACTCACCGACCGCGCATAGGAAATGCACATGTATGTATTAAGATCAGCAGATGTCGTTTTCCTCAAGAAGGGGTATCATCAAGCGATGGTCTGCTGGACTCAGAGGACCTCCTCAAGATCAGGGTGAACAATCCGGGCGAAGTCGCCCTCCTCTGGATATAGTATGCTGTGAAGGCTGTGTATGCTGGTCTGGTAACCCCTCAGTAAGGGGAAAGAGATGGGAGAATACCCATAGTGTAGTATTTCAAACTTTATTTGTAGTAGACTAATATAAAGCAGGTCAGTAACAACACTGGCAAAGCCAGAAAATACAAGCTAAAAAAATTGATACAGACCTAAAGTAAAATGGCCGCCAGACCTCCTCGTGGTATGGGTGGCGATAAGGCGTCACAAGCTGTCAGCTCCTCCTAAGGCCTTTCGTGCTAAGGCACATCTTCAGAGGGGAGGCTAATTGGGGTTTATAACCATAATGCTATCCCGCTGGGCCTGATGCCTGTGATCTCTCAGCATACATACAGACCACAGTCCTGAGGGAGGGGGGATTGGAGGGAGAAGAAGATCGATACAAGATGGAGAATCCTTAGCAAGATGGATGACTGCGTCCATCTCTGTACGTACAATTGCTACACACCCCCCCCCCCTTTTTTTTTATATCACAGGTCAGCTGGCTGAAGCCCAAAAAGTCAACTAACTGGGACTAAGCAGATTAATCCCTCCCTTTCCCAGCCTGGGCCAGTCACTAACTCACTAAGCAGAGCCCAACCTGTTTAAAAACAGATTCACGTACCTATCTCTTACAAGTTTAAGAATCAGATGCAACTGCTTACATTTTGGTAAAATGTAATTAACCGCTTTCCCACACCCTATACTAACTACTGCTACAGGGCGGCAGGGCTGCACAAAATCACGTATGTATAAGTGATTTGCATTTCCAGGTAGGAAGCACACGCGTTGCCCTACCTGCACTGCCACTGGCGGCTAGGGATGTCAATCAACGGGTCCAGGCTGGAGAATCCCCACCGGCACCCGGCGATCGTTGGGAAAAGCTGACAGGGGAGAGACCTGTGTGTAAACAGCACAGGTCTCTCTCCTACCAGCAAGGGCATGCTGCTTTGTATTTCTCTGCACAGCAGAAAAGTACAAAGCAGCATGTCTCCCTAGTAAAACACACACAGCACATAATGTAAAACAGCACACAGTTAACCCTTTGATCACCCCAAATGTTAACAGCTTCCTGCCCAGTGTCATTAGTACAGTGTCAGTGCTTTTTATTAGCACTGATCACTGTATTACTGTCATTGGGGTGTCAGTGGCAGTCAGTTCCCACTCAGTGTCAGAATGCCTGCTGCAGTCCCGCAGTCCTGTTATAAGTCGCTGATCGCCGCCACTACTAGTATGAACAAAATAAAAATAAAAATTCCAGTATATATACAGCCATTTGTAGACACTATAATTTTCATGTAAACCAATTAATTTACATGTATTGGGATTTTTTTTTAGCAAAGACATATAGCAAAATACATTTGGCCTAAATTTCTGAAGAAATTTGATTCTTAAAATTTTTTTACTGGATGTGTTGCTAAAAGTCAAAAATATAGTTTTTTTTTCCAAAAATGTTGATTTTTTTTTATAACGCAAAAAATGTAAAAACGCAGAGGTGATCAAACAACAACAAAAGAAAGCTCTATATGTGGGAAAAAAAGGACATAAATTTCATTTGGGTGCAGCGTTGCATGATCGTGCAATTGTCAGTTAAAGTAACACAGCGCCATGGCGCAAAAAAAATGGCCTGGTGGGTAAGTGGGGTAAATCCTCTGGAGGGCAAATGCTTAAAAAGGTTCATTGAGGTAGTTATATTTGCTCCTTACAAACTCAGGCTTTGCTTCCTGTTTTTACATTGGCTTTACTGCTCTTCCAAAGTAAATCCATGAGTCAGCCAGCCGACCAATAAGGTTACATTCCATGTTCAATGAGTCAAAAGCAGAGCTCTCTCTAGTCTAGTGAATAATCTACAAAACTCTAAATGTAATATAATAGTGAAACTAAGAAAGAACACAAATTTAGGAAAGTGAAAGCCACATCAAAAATTATTTTATGGAACATAAAACAATACCATAATAATACCACAATACCGCATTAATGTAATAACAACTTATGTATGTGCTTGTTATAAATATAGTTTGTTTTTTGTGGTTTCTTTATGACATTGAAAACATTATGATATCAGACTAGTTTAGGAGAAAGCTCTTTGCAAATAGCACAATTGATTTTGTTTTTAAGGTCTGACTATTGATTTTAAAAAAATTGGCAATAAAGACGTTTTATTGGGAGGCACTGACGATACTGTAAATAGTCCACCTGAAACCTAGACCAAGGTCCTGTCATCTATAACTGTGTCAGTAGCAGAGTATTGCAGATACATAGGTGGTCAGAAATGGAACTACATTGGCTCACTTTGTAGAATAATAATGATTGTGGTCAATTATTTGCGTTTAAAAGATTAAATACATAGCTATATAAAAAGTGTATTCCACATAAAAATCATCATGAAGGAGAGTGGTCAGGAGTGATTTGCCAAGTGATTGTGATTTGAAGTCATTTCATAAAAACTGTATTCATGTTAATGAGGTAGTCTGTTATCAATGGTGACAGATGGTGGTCAGCTTGTGCTTGCATGGCTGACTGCCCTCCCATGTCTAAGGCCATCTTATGAAAAAAAAAACTGTATTGGTTTTTACTATATTTACATTTAAAAAAAAATTATGCATTGATATGTATTACAGTTATGCTTATTGTTTGAATATAATATACTTTGATGTATTAATTTTACAGATAAACATTTAATATAGGAGGTTTCAAAGCTATAGTGTGCTCATTGCTGCTAGGCTGCCTATAGAAAACCCAGAAAAGGTGCAAATACCAGGTGCAATGAGGTTCCAGGGGATATGTAGATAACCACAGTAAGGGCAGCTCCAGCAACTCATCTGACCAGCAATGAGATATGAGCACAAAACAGCAAATAAAGGAGCTCTCTCACCCTGTGGAAGTCAATAGAGTCCCAAGCCCAGGAACAGATAAAATCGAAATTCACTTTAATCACTTGCCCACCTGAGGATTTACCCCCCTTCCTGACCAGGCAATTATTTGCCTTACGGCGCTACGTTATTTTAACCGCTTAAGGACCGCCCTATAGCAGATATACTGCTACAGGGCAGTACCTGTGTGCAAAATCATGTATTTACACGTGATTTTGCATTTACGGGCAGGGGGTGCACGCGAGCTGCACACGCACCCTACCCACGCTGCCATTCGTGGCTGCGGATGACAATCACCGAGCCCTGGCCGGTAATTACCCGCTGGCGCCCGATGATTACCGGGCATTTCCGATGGGGAGGAGGATTGTTTTGTTTACAAACAATCGTCCTCCCTGTCAGCTCGAGCACACTGCTTGGGATGGCTCTGCACAGTACAGCCATCCCGATCAGTGTGCTTACAGTGAAGAACACATCCTTTGCCCCCTAGTAAAACACTCCCAGCACACAGCTAACCCTTTGATCGCCCCTCTCATTAACCCCTTCTTGCCCAGTGCCATTAGTACAGTGTCAGTGCTTTTTTTTAGTATGAGATTTAAAACTCGCCTATCATGGCAAATAGCATGGCAAGTCGCCCCCGATATTTCCGGGCATTAACTGAGCTGTAGGCCTCATTCTTTACAGCGCACATTACTAAACCATATCTCCCAAATAATTTGCCCCAGCCCGGCTTTCATCCTGATTACTGTAGAAACTTTTGTAACAGGTTTACATCTCTGTTTATAAGTTTACCGGTACATTAATCACATTTTTAATTAGTTAATCACATTCTTTGCTGCCAAAGCATAGTGTTTGTGATAGCATAATACAGGTGAAGCAGGTGACAGGTTCTCTTTAACTATTTCCCACCCCGGCCAATTCTGTCATTTCTCTCCTACATGTACATCATCATTTTTTTGTTGTAAAATGACTCAGAACCCCCAAACATTAGATATATGTTTTAAGTAGAAGCCCTAGAGAATAAAATGGTGTTGCAATTTTTTTTTATCATGCAGTATTTACGCAGCGATTTTTCAAACACAATTTTTTGGAAAAAATACACTTTAATTAATTTAAAAAACACAATTGTGACGGAGGGTAGGCAGGACAGAACACACACGGCGGATGACAAACACACAAAGCTTTATTGAGACAAATGACAGTCACTCAATAGGGGGATTGCAGGGAGTGGGACAGGACCCAGTATGGAAATAGCAAGGAGAGGGCCAAAATACTTGTAGTCCAGCCCCAAAGGGCAAAGTTAAAGTCTCTACAGCAGTTTGTAATCCAACAGTGAGGTAGAGGGGCACTACCAAAACAGTTCAAGCAAAACAGGGAAAGCATACACTCACGGATCTGACAGGGTGCCCGAGCTCTCAGGGAACAAGATAGTATGACACAGGTGCCTGCTGGAGTCCGGAGTATGCGTGCCGTAGCCCATGGTAATATTTCTCCCCCCGAGTCCCTGGTGCCTGTAAGGGGCAGCTGGTGTGGTTCTCCCCTTTAGCTTGGGGCTTGCGTGGCAGCTGGCGTTCTCCCCCTAGCCTTGGGGTCTTGGGCTGAGTGGCTGCAGTCTCCTCCTATCCTTGGGGGTCTTAGGCTGGGTGGCTGCAGTTTCCCCCTATCCTTGGGGGACTTAGGCTGAATGGTTGCGGTCTCCCCCTATCCTTGGGGGGGGATCAGGCTGAGTGGCTGCGGTCTCCCCCTATCCCTGGGGTCTGCAGGCAGGGTGGCTGCGGTCTCCACCTTTAGCTATGGGGTCTCAGGCTGAGTGGCTGCAGTCTCCCCCTTTAGCTTGGGGGTCTCAGGCTGAGTGGCTGCGGTCTCCCCCTATCCTTGGGGGTCTTAGGCTGAGTGGCTGTGGTCTCCCCCTATCCTTGGGGGAGCTCAGGCTGAGTGGCTGTGGTCTCCCCCTATCCTTGGGGTCTGCAGGCAGGGTGACTGCAGTCTCCCCCTTTAGCTTGGGGGTCTCAGGCTGAGTGGCTGCGGACTCCCCCTTTAGCTTGGGGGTCTCAGGCTGATTGGCTGTTGTCTCCCCCTATCCTTGGGGTCCTCAGGCAGGGTAGCTGTGGTCTCCCCCTTTAGCTTGGGGGTCTGAGGCAGGGTTGGCTTGCTGGGGTCCCCCGTATCCTTGGGGTCTTAGGCAGAGTTAGCCACGAGGGTCCCGCCGTAACTGGGATCCCTCGGTGGCTTGGCAGCAGAAGAGGATGAATGGGAAGAGCCGGCATCGATCTTTTAAGCTGATGCAGGACGCTTCCCGGTCGTCCTGGCACGCCCCTCTGGACATGGATCGCGCTCTCGTGAGCGCGACCTTTGTTCGGAGGCATCCGCAAGTGCGGGAACTCCTCGTGCCCACGCTGCGGTTGCCGGGATCGTGCGGCGTCAGCCTGATGCCGTGGTCCAGAACATCTCTGCAGGAGGTTTGCACCTCTCCGCAGGGAGGTGTGAACCTCGCTATCTTGTCCCCTCCGCCCTCGCTGGATGGGGATAAGATAGTGGCAGTGGTGAGAGGAGCCGCGCCTCTCGTCCTGTGCCGCTCGGCTTCAAAGAGCCGCGGCAGGACGAGAGACAGCAGGGGGTCGATTCCAGATGCGGGCCAGAGGAGGAGGGAGAGCGCCAACTGTGACAACAATATATAACCCAGGTTTTTTGACAAATATAAAAGATAATATTATGCCAAGTAAATAGATATATAACATGTCACACTTTAAAACTGCTCTCATGCTCATGGAATTACATCAAAATATAGTAATTAAAAATCTAAAATATAGCTGATGCCTTAAACATTTTTACAAGTTACCAGTTTAGAGTTACAGAGGAGATCTAGGGATAGAACTATTGCTCTCATTATAACATTTGCGGTGATACCTCACATGTCTAGTGCGAACACCAGTGTGGGCACAGCCTATGTATGCATTCACCACTACAGTCAAGCATGGGAAGACAGGGATGCTTAAATATTTCTTTTACATAGTTACATAGTTAGTCTGGCTCAAGAAAGACAAAAGTACATCCAGTTCAACCAAAAAAAAAAAAAAAAGTTATAATTCTACACCCACAGTTGATTAAGAGGAAGGCAAAAAAAACCAGCAAAGCATGATCCAATTTGCTCCTGCTGGGGAAAAAATTCCTTTCTGATCCCCTGAGAGGCAATCGGATATTGCCTGGATCAACTTTACCTGTAAATGTTATATCCAGTTATATTCTGTGTATCTAAGAAAGAATCCAGGCCTTTTTTTAAAGCAATCCACTGAGCTGGCCAGAACCAACTCTTCCACAGAGG